AAATAGAGCAATAATGAATGAATGGAAACCCAAAATCTTTGTAAATGTTCATTAAAATTAATAAAATTTAATTTAAAAAAAGAGATTGAGGTTGTTAACAGCTTTAGTTTGCTTGACTCCACAATCAACACTTTAGTATCATCAGCCAGGAAATTAGGATATTAATTGTTGTTGTTGTTGTTGTATGTGCTGTCGAGTTGTTTGTGACTCATAGCGACCCTGTGTACAACACCCCTAAACCCTGCTCTATCCTGTGCCAATCACATCGCATTGCCTCTGACACACCCATGCTGATTACCCCAGTCACTGAATCAATCCACCTCATAGAGGGTCTTTCTACTGTCAGGGACCGCTCCAAAGTACTGGAGAGCAATGATGTCAGTCTGGAGACAAAGGTGACACGGTCTTTGCCATTGCTTGCTATACATCAGAGAGCAGGACAATGACTAGGGATGATAGAATGAGAGTTGATGCCTTTGAGCTGTGGTGCTGGAGAAGTGTATTGAATATACCATGGACTGATATGAGAACGAACAGGTTCATCCTGGAAAGGGTGAAGCTAGGTTGCTCCTTGGAGGCAAGAATTCTGAAGCTCCATCTGACATATTTTGGGCATGTTGCAAGGCACAGTCCGTCCTTGGAGAGGGATGTCATACTTGGGAGGGTGGAGGGACAGCATAAAAAAGGAAGACCCTCAATGAGATGGATTGATTCAGTCATTGGGGTAAAGGAGATAAGTGTGTTGGAGACAATAAGACTGGCAAGAGATAAAGCAGAGTTTAGGGTTATTGTATATAGGGTCGCTATGAGTCACAGGTGACTTGATGGCATATAACAACAACAGAACATAATTAGGTTACAGAATAAATAAAGAATGAAATTAAAAAATTTCCTTGAAACAAATGAAAATGAAAATATGCATACCCAAACCTCTGAGATGCAACTAAGGCATTCCTGAGGGGACAGTGCATAGCAGTAGGCAAATATATAAAAAAGGAAGAAAAAGTAAAATTAATACTCTAACTCAGCACTTCCATCAAATAGAACAATAATCTAATCCCACAGCCTCGAGAAGAAAGGAAATATAAAGGCAAGAGCTGAAATTAATGAGATAGAAAACAGAAAATCATTTGAAACCATCAAGACCAGAAGCTGGTTTTTCAAAAAGGTCAACACAATTGGCAAACCATTGGCAAACTTAACAAAAAAGAGAGAAAAAAAGAAGAAACAGACAACTCGATTAAGAAATAATAGAGCTTTTTAGGGGACCTTACCTTCTCTCTGCTGTAAGACACCAACACCTGTGTGTCATGGTAGGCCGAAGAGGGGCTTCCAGCCACCACATCCCTTGCATCTGCTAAAGTCTGCATCCCAGACCAGGCACATTCACACCCTGGCCAGCAACAAAAGCACTGCCTACCAGGATGAGGAACTGTAATTTTAGAGCACAATCCTGCCCAGAGCAATAGATTACTGCTACTGTCATCTGAAGACTCAGCTGCCCCACCATTTGGAGACTGCCCAGGTGCCACCCCTGCTCTCCAGTGCCAGGAGTGATAATATCACGGGTACTTTGGGTGAAACATTGCTGTCAGGTTCTAGACCCTGTAGGCCTCAGGTCAAGAAGGTAACACAAATATATAGGTGCTTCACAAGACATTGATGTACTCTGGGTAATTATATAGTTACAACAGCCTAATATCTACTAAGACACACATAATGTCAAGAAAGCAGCAGTCCACCTCAGTCATCATGGGGAGAAAAACAAACCCAAAATAACCCTTCTCCTAAAAAAGCAGACCCACAATTATAAGATATCATCTCACCCCAGTAATAACAAAATTCCACAGAGCAGCAAATAACAAATGTTGGCAAGATTGCAGAGAAACTGGAACCCTTATTCACTGTTGGTGGCAGTGTAAAATGGAGCAACCACTGTGGAAGGCTGTATGGCACTGTCTCAAAAAATTGGAAATAGAAATACCATTTGATCCAAAAATTTCACTACTGGGAATATACCCTAAAGAAACCAGAACTGCCACCCAAGCAGATATAAGCACACCCATGTTTATTGCTGCTTTGTTCACAATAGCAATGAGTTGGAAACAACCCAATTGCCCATCAACAAATGGATAGGGAAGCTGTAGTATATTCACACAATGGAACATTATACAATACTGAAAAATAAAGAACTCATTAAATAATATACAAAATGGATGACCATGGAAGACATTATGCTGAGTGAAATATCTCAGTCACAAAAAAAGACTAATACTGTTATAACGCCACTGTTATAGAAAAGGACTGACATGGGGCGTGGGAGAAAACTAAGAAAAGAGGAGATAAATAATGTACATGGCATTGAAATAGATGACAGAGAGAACTGTACAAAAGGAATATATGATTAGATATTATTGGTATGACAAGAGTCCAGAATAAGAGCTGCATAGTAAAGTAGACTTGGGGTGTGGGGGAGGGAAGTTGTGTAACAATGAAAGAATTGTTTTTCCAAAGAATAAAGCAAACTAGGGGGGAGGGGAGCAGAGAGGAAAATGTGCAACATAGAATGAATGGAAATCCAAGTTCTCTATAAACTTTCACTAAAATCTCAATTAAGGGGGCGGGGGGGAAGCAGACCCAATGATACCCCACACAGAGAGAACCAGAAGAAATATATTGATGTAAACTTACTTAATCAGATACAGAAAAAAAGATACAAATGTGTCTTGGAACAATGTAAAACAATAAGAGAGCAAATACCTCAGAGACAACAATCCAGAAGAAACATATTGATGAGGAGCAACTTGAACACCTATGGAGGAAAATGCAAAAGATAGAGAAAGAATTTATAGTGTTGATAAAGAGAACTTTTTTAAAAAGTCGCAAGAAATAGAGGGTACATCCAACAAAATAGTGTAAATAACAGAAAAGCATAAAAATGCAATCCAGAATATTAAGATGGCAGACGTGTCCAACACACTGGTAGGATAAAATATTAGAACTAAAGAGATGGAACAGAGGGTGAGTGAGCCGGAAGACAAGAGCCTCACTGGAAACATACTAGAAGAAAAATCAGAGATGACATGAAAAGAAAATGAAGAAAACATTAGAATCATGTAGATGACATCAAAAGGAATAACATACATATGACTGGAATTCCAAAACAAGAGGGTGACAGGGAAATCACTGAGAAAATAGTAGAAGTAGTACTGGAAGAAAACCTCCCTGGTATTTTGAAGAATAGAGAAATCCACATTCAAGAAGCACAGAGAACACTGAATACATAAACTAGACCAAAAGGAAAAAAGTCAAGACATAGAATAGGATAGATTTCTAAAAGTAGCATGAGAAAAACAAAGAGTTACCTACAAAGGAGAAACAATTAATTTCTGATCTCTCAGTAGAAACCATGAAAGCTAGAAGGCAATGAGATGGCATATACAGAAATTTGAAAGAAAACAATTGCCAGCCAAGGATCCTATACCTTGCAAAGCTCTCCATTAAATATGAAGGAGAACTTAGATCCTTTGCAGAAAAGAAGGAACTTAAGGAATTTGTAAAATAAGACCAAAACTACAAGAAATTTGAAGTGGAGTCCTTCACACGGAGATGCCAAAGGAAAGTGCATAGACCATAATAACCAGAAACAACAGGAAAAGAAACTTGGGAAAATAGCAAAAGTAGTAATAGCACTTAATGTGAATGAATTAAATGCACCAATTAAGAGAAAATCAATAGCAGAGTGGATTTTAAAAAGCCCAGCAAAGACACCCATCTAAAAAAAAAGAAGAGAAAGGCAGACTCCAAATAAAAAGCAGTAATATATATATCAAACAAATAGCAACCTCAAAAAAGCAGGAGGGGCAATACTAATCTCTGCTAAAATAGATTTCCAAATGAAAACCACCATCAAAGAAAAGGAAGGGCATTCTATACTGAAAAAGGCACAATAGATCAAGAAGATATAACCTTGGTCAACATTTACATACCAAATGATAGACCTGCAAAATATATTTAAAAACCAGTTAATAGAATTGAATAAAGAAATATACAGCACCACAATAGTGGTAGAAGACTTCAACACACCACTATCACCAAAGGATAGGTCAACCCAAAAGAAACTCAACAAAGATGCAGAATATTTAAACTATACAATCAGCCTACTAGAATTTACGGAACAGAGGTATTCCGGGTACGGCACCCAACAAAAACTCAATTCGTTTTCAAGTGCACAGGGTACATTGTCCAGACTTGATCATATATTTGGACAAAAAACAAGCCTCAACAAATTAAAAAAACATTAAAATAATACACAATACTATAAAACAAGAAATTAACACCATGAGAGTAAAGCTTACAAAACCTCTTATGTGGAAACTAAATAACTTTCTCCTAGACATGGTTGGGTAATAGAAAAATAAAGAATAAAATTTAAAAAGTTCCTTGCAACAAATGAAAATGAAAATATAACCTACCAAAACCTCAGAGCACAGCTAAGGCAGTTCATAGCAATAGGCCCACACATAAAAAAAGAAGAAAGAAGAATCAATGATCTAACTCAATACCTTGATCAAATAGAGTAAGAACAACAATCTAATCCTACAGACTGTAGAAGAAAAGAAATTATAAAGATAAGAGCAGAAATCAGTGAGCTAGAAAACAGAAAAACAGTTGAAACCATCAACAAAACCAGGAGCTGATTTGTCGAAAGGGTCAATAAAATTGACAAACCACAGGGCAAACTTAACAAAAGAGAAAAAAAAAGAGAGAAGACACAGACAGCTCAATTAAGAAATAATAGAGGTGACATCACAACAGAACTAGAAGAAATTAAATGGATAATTTCAGAATACTAGGAAAAGCTATGCTCTGTTAAATTCAAATAGCTAGAGGAAATGGACAAATTCCTTGAAATTCTTGCCCTACCCAGGCTGACAAGGATAGATACAGAATACTTGAACAGTCCCATCACAAAAGAAGAAATTGGGCTGCGGGTGAAGATGGCGGCAGCCGAGGCCGCGAACTGCATCATGGAGGTCTCCTGTGGCCAGGCCGAGAGCAGCGAGAAGCCCAACGCTGAGGACATGACGTCCAAGGATTACTACTGCGACTCCTATGCCCACTTCGGCATCCACGAGGAGATACTGAAGGATGAGGTGCGCACCCTCACGTACCGCAACTCCATGTTCCACAACCGGCACCTCTTCAAGGACAAGGTGGTGCTAGACGTGGGCTCGGGCACCGGCATCCTCTGCATGTTCGCTGCCAAGGCCGGGGCCCGCAAAGTCATCGGGATCGAGTGTTCCAGTATCTCTGATTACGCCGTGAAGATCGTCAAAGCCAACAAATTAGACCATGTGGTGACCATCATTAAGGGCAAGGTGGAGAAGGTGGAGCTGCCGGTGAATACGGTGGACATCGTCATCAGCGAGCGGATGGGCTACTGCCTCTTCTACGAGTCCATGCTCAACACCGTGCTGTACGCCCGCGACAGGTGGCTGGCGCCCGACGGCCTCATCTTCCCAGACCGAGCCACGCTCTACGTCACGGCCATTGAGGACCGGCAGTACGAGGACTACAAGGTCCACTGGTGGGAGAACGTGTACGGCTTTGACATGTCTTGTATCAAGGACGTGGCCATCAAGGAGCCCCTGGTGGACGTGGTGGACCCCAAGCAGCTGGTCACCAACGCCTGCCTCATAAAGGAGGTGGACATCTACACTGTCAAGGTGGAGGACCTGATCTTCACCTCGCCCTTCTGCCTGCAAGTGAAGAGGAACGACTACGTGCACGCCCTGGTGGCGTACTTCAACATCGAGTTCACACGCTGCCACAAGAGGACCGGCTTCTCCACCAGCCCCGAGTCCCCCTACACGCACTGGAAGCAGACCGTGTTCTACATGGAGGACTACCTGACTGTCAAGACGGGGGAGGAGATCTTTGGCACCATCGGCATGCGCCCCAATGCCAAGAACAACCGCGACCTGGACTTCACCATTGACCTGGACTTCAAGGGCCAACTGTGTGAACTGTCCTGCTCCACCGACTTCCGGATGCGCTGAGGGCTGCTGCCCTCCGGGGCCCAGGGCTGCGGTGTTCTTAGGCGGTTTTTGAGGGGTCCCCCTTCCTCTCCCTCCCTTCCACTGAAGGGGGTCTTAGGGGCTGGGGCCAGGGTGGGGGGTCACATCGTGACTGTGTTTTTCATAACTTATGTTTTTATATGGTTGCTTTTACGCCAATAAATTCTCAGTGGGGAAAAAAAAAAAAAGAAGAAATTGAAAAGTTCTTAAAAAGACTTCCCCATAAAAAAATCCTAGACCAGATGGCTTCACAGCTGAATTCTACCAAATATTCAAAGAGGATTTAACACCAAATCTACTTAAATTATTTCAAAATATTAAAAAATAAGGAACACTTCCTGAGTCATTTTATGAAGGAAACATAATCTTAATACTAAAAGCAGGCAAAGATATTACCAAAAAAGAAAACTACAAACAAATATCTTTCATGACTATAGATGCAAAAATCTTTAACAAAATCCTAGCCAATAAAATCCAAAAGCACGTGGGGGAAAAAAATCAACAATCTGTGTTATGCAGATGACACAACCATGTTTGATGAAACTGAGGAGGACCTGAAGCACTTGCTGCACAAGATCAAGGATTGCAGCCTTCAATATGGATTGAAGCTCAACATCAAGAAAACAAAAATTCTCACCACTGAGACAACTGGCAGCATCATGATTGATGGTGAAGAGATTGAGATTGTTAATAGCTTTAATTTTCTTGGCTCTACAATCAACACTCTTGGTACCAGCAGCCAGGAAATTAAAAGATGAATTGCATTGGGGAAAATCTGCTGTCAGAGACCTCTCCAAGGTACTGAGGAGCAATGATGTCAGTCTGGAGACTAAGGTGTGCTTGATCCAGGCTATAGTCTTTGCAATTACGTGCTATGCATCAGAGAGTTGGACAATGAATAGGATGGTAGAAAGAGAATTGATGCCTTTGAGCTGTGGTGCTGGAAAAGAGTGTTGAATATACCATGGACTGCTAGGAGAGCAAAGAGTTTTGTCCTGGAGAAGGTGAAGCCAGAATGTTCCTTGGAGTCAAGGATTATGAAGCTTTGTCTGACATACTTTGGGCATGTTGCAAGGAGGGACTGGTCCTTGGAGAAGGATATCATGTTTGGGAGAGTGGAGGGAAAGGAAGACCCTTGATGAGATGAATCAATTCTGTGAGTGGAGTGGTGGGAATGAGTATGTTTAAGATGGTGAGGTTGGCACAGTATAGAGCGGTGTTTAGGGCTCTTGTACACAGAGTCGCAAGCGACTCGATGGCACATAACAAAAACAACAATAATCAACACTCTTGGTACTAGCAGCCAGGAAATTAAAAAACAAATTGCATTGAGAAAGTCTGCTGTCAGAGACCTCTCCAAGGTACTGAGAAGCAATAATATCAGTCTGAAGACTAAGGTACGCCTGATACAGGCCATGGTCTTTGACATTACTTGCTATTCATCAGAGAGCTGGACAATGACTAGGGATGATAGAAGGATAAGTACTGCCTTTGAGTTTTGGTGCTGGAGAAGAGTATTGAATATACCAGGGAGGGACTACTAGGAGAACTCTCTCTTCCAGGCTCGAGGCCACATGCATCCATCCAGTTGACACTGAGAGTCAGGAGAGACACTCGCCCTTATCCTGCAGGTGTGGCCATACATTTCAGTATTTTATCATTCCGGCACGTGCAAATGCTGGCAAACTCTGGGCCAGAGACCCCTAATTCATCTAAGTCTGCTCTGCGGCTACCCACTTGAGGCAAACAGAAAGCCACAAATGCCCATAACACAAATGTCTGTAAATAGCTTGCCTCCAGAAACCCTAAGAATCTGGAGAAAGGATGAAAGTCATGCAAGTGTCTAAGATTTTCATTCATAGGGTTGCTCAATCGTACTCAGCAACATAGAGAGAGACCAGTTGGCTTAGTGGACCGAAAGTGATACTACCAAGCCAAAGTGGGTGACTCTAATCCATGGCCCTCAAGCCTGTTCTTAATTGGTTTTGGTCAAACATGCTTCTAGGTCGCATAGCCCTGGTGTGTCCACTTGCCATACAGAGGTAACGTGTGGTTGCTGTGAAGCTGAACACTGTGACACCGATGTGTCAAAAGTGATAATGGTTACCCATGGCGGACAGGGTTTGGTGGTGCTCCTCGGTTTAAACAAGCTTGGAAGCAGGAGTGGCATCCACTTCCATAAATAGCTTGCCTCCAGAGACCCTATGAACCTGGAGAAAGTATAAGTCACGCAAATGTTGAGGACTTTGATCATAGGGTCGCTGTGAGTCACCTACAACTCGACGGCACTCAATAACAACAGCTAGGAGAACAAACAAGTTCGTCCTGGAGAGGGTGAAGCCAGGCTGCTCCTTGGAGGCAAGGATTCTGAAGCTCTGAATGACATACTTTAGACATGTTGCAAGGTCCTTGGAGAGAGATGTCATGCTTAGGTGGATGGAGAGACAGTGCAGGAGAAGAAGACCCTTGATGAGATGGATTGAGTCCATCACTGGGATAATGAGGATAGGTATGCCAGAGACAATAAGGTTGGCAAGAGATAGAGCAGGGTTTCAGGCTGTTGTTCATAGGGTTTCTATGAATCTGAAGCAACTCAACAGCACATAACAACAACAGCAACATGTCACTCCCTAAATAAGGACAACACCTCCCAGAAGATCTGTGGGTGAGCATTAACATTACTGGTAAGTATATTTGTTTTCTCCTGGACACAAGAGCCTACTATTTGGTCCTAACAGCCTTCTGAGGTCCTAACTCTTCTCACTATTTCTTAGTTGTTGGAATTGATGGAAAACCTCATAAGCAGTTCCTTATTTCACCTCTGTCCTGCATGCGGACTTCTGAGTTGTAAAACAACTCAGTGGTAGATGGAATTTGCTCCAGGACTTAAGAACAATAAATGACATAGTTGAGCCTCTACATCTTGTGGTTCCTAACCTTTATACTATAATAGACAAAGTGCTAGTCAATAGGCCTTTCATTGTAAGAACTACCTTCCCTCTGTAACTTGATTTGTGCCACTATTAGAGCCTCTACCTAGAATATTATTGCTTTTTAATTTTTGACTCATGTACTTTTAACTTCTTAATTAAATTTGTGTCTTCTAGGCTGCAACAGTTCCATGATACATCTTCAAGGATATGAACATGTACAGCTAAGCACAATAGATAACAGTACATCTAAATTCCAAAATCAATCTCCATAACAGTCTATGTGTTTCCTATTGCCAAAGGGGCCCTTTAGAGTAGTGAGAAGTCTTCACCCTGAAACCTACAGCGTCCCTTTTCAGCAGGAAGTAGCTAAGAGAATATGCCGTCCCCTTTTCCTTACGAATCAGGGTGAAGTCTCTCTCAAGAAGGAGTGATAGGGAATGGCAAAGGACACACTGACAAAGGAGATTAATCAGAACTGGCTTTGACAAGCACTGTGGCAATTGGACAATTAAAACAGACTTTCGAGGGGGGGAGGGGGAAGAAGAACGAACTGGGGAGGAGGGTAGAGAAAATAGTGCAACAATGAATGAATGAAAGCCCAAAATCTCTGTAAATGTTCATTAAAATTAATAAAATTTAATAATTTTTAAAAAATAAGGGCAACAAAAGAAATGATGCCTTTGAGCATCATTAGATGTTAGTGTTAGAGAAGAGTACCAAACATCCCATAAGTTGCCAAAAGAACAAACATGTCTTTGAGAAAGTGCAGCCAGAATGCTCTTTGAAAGTAAGGTTGGTGAAACTTAGTCTCACACACTAAATTCATGTTGTCAGGAGGAATCCGTTCTTGGAAAGGGACATCATGCTGGGAAAAGTGGAGGGTTAGAAAAAGAGAAGAGCCACAGGGAGGTGGATTGATACAGTGACTGTAACAATGGGCTCAAGTACACCAGAGAGGGTGAGGACAGCTCTACTGTTTGTAGGGTCACTATGAGTGGGTACCTAACAACAAAGCTTTACTACCAGGATTGCTTCCTTTAGCATATTCTGAAGACTGAGTATATGGAAAACTGCCCAGCTGATTGAACCATATATCAGTTAAATGGTATGAGAAGAGGAAGGGAAAATGTCTTAACAACAGGAAATGTCTGGCACTATTTCCACATCAACTCAGAGAACTTCCTAGTCATTTGTTAAATTGCCAGAGAAGCTGAAAATCTCCAATTATTAGTAAAATTTGCAATTCTTTTGTTCATTCTGCTTTCTGCATGAAGGCAATCTTAGTGGATGTTAGTGCTGACAGGCCCATTTGGTACTCATCCATCTCAGGGCTATAAATTACTACTTCCAAAGTCCTAATTAGATGGCTGAATACCTTATCTCTGACTTATGACTGTCACAGGCTTTGTTTCTATAAATACATGCTCCATCCAGAACTCAAATGTGTCTCGTGGCAGAGCGTTTCAACAGGCAAGTGCCGTGGGATCACCAGAGGACAGGGCTGAAGGACCAGACGCATGGATGTGATGGAGTCCAGGTTTCTGCCAACCTTTGGTCTCATGCAAGTTAGAACATGCAGATTCAGATCATTGATTTTGCTTCTCTAGAAAAGTCAAGACTTGAAATTTTTGCTGCAGAAGATCGAAGACTATGGCCTTCAATATGGATTATATCTCAATATTAAGAGGACAAAAATCCTCACCACCAGACTTACAAGCAACATTTTATGAGAAGTTGTCAATGATTTCATCTTTCTTGGATCCACAACAAGCATCCTTGGTATCAGCAGCCAAGAAATCAAAAGACATATTTCATTGACAAAATATGATGTCAAGGACCTCACCAAGGTAGTACGGAGCAATGATGTCAGTTTAAAGACCAGGGTACATCTGATTTAAACCATGGTCTTTTTTCTTTTTTTTTTTCACCATGGGCCTCAGACACTAAACTTCAGTAGAAAACCATGGTCTTTTCAAATACTTGTTATGCATCTGGAAGTTGGACAATGAATAATAGTGATGAAAAAGTATCAATGTTGTTGAGTCCTGG